CACTCTTCACTGGGATCTTTTTCTTTCTTTCTTTTTTTCTGAACTGTCCTGCCCCATGGAGAAATTTGTTTTGGTTATCCAAATAAAGCAGTCAAACCTTTCTAAAAAGATGTGTGGGATGCTGCTGGAGGCAGGCAGCTACCCGCTGGAGTCACTAATCTCTCTACAGTCCTTACGGAGCTGTTTCTCAGGCCCCCAGACTTCAGTTCTCTGTTCCAAAGGATGTGTCCTTGTACATCCGGTTGTAGCAGAGTGATCTTTGTGTCCTGCCTGTCACTATCATAGGCTGTTGGTAAGGAAAGGGGAGATGCACTATGAATTACGAAGGGAAACAACCATTTCCCACTGTGTGGTGGTTTGTTGTGTTCCTAAGACAGGGTCTCCTGCGGCACAAGCCTGGTCTTAAACATAGATTGGCCTTGAACTCTTGATTCTCCTGCATCTGCCTCCTGATGCTGGGATTACGGATGTATGCTACCCTGAGAGGTATTTGCCAGATTGGCTTTGAACTTGAAACCCTACTGCCTCAACCTCTTCACCTGGCTAACTGTGTGGCTTTTTTCAAATGCAGGTCAATTCTACAATTCTCTGACACCAACTGGATGTCCCAGAATCCAGTTCAACTCAGTTCTGAGCTAACAAAGACAGCAAAGGTTAAGGATTCAGCCCCATCAGACTGCCCCTACTTTAGACACTAAAATACAGTCCCCATGCTACCTGTCCCTCTGCCCAACCAACTACAAATTTGGGAGCCCCCCTGGCCCCATCCTCTTGAGGATGTTCTCTAAACACTCAGAGAACCCACAAATGGATTCTAATAGCAGTTTAGTATAAAAGGTACAACCAAGCAAGAGTCTAATAGAAGATGCACGGAGCAAGAGGGTCCTGGAGGGGAAATGTGGAGTTCTCAGATGCCAAGCATGCCAGACCCACCATCCTTGAAGCACATCAACATACTCAGCTACCAGAAAGTTCCCAGGTATGGAGTTTCCTTACACGGGCATCATTGATTCATTGGTGGCAATTTCAATTTCCTATCTCCTACCCTCTCTGAGGGATCTGGAGGTGGACCTAAAAATTCAGCTTCTGATATTTAACAAATGGTGCTGGCATAACTGGATATCAACATGTAGAAGAATGAAAATAGATCCATATCTATCACCATGCACAAAACTCAAGTCCAAATGGATCAAAGACATCAACACAAAGCCAGTCACACTGAACCTTATAGAAGAGAAAGTGGGAAGTACACTTGAACACATTGGTACAGGAGACCACTCCTAAATTTAACCCCAGTAGCACAGACACTGAGAGAAACAATCAATAAATGGGGCCTCCTGAAACTGAAAAGCTTCTGTAAAGCAAAGGACATGGTCAACAAGACAAAACGACAGCCTACAGAATGGGAAAATATCTTCACTAACCCCACATCAGACAGAGGTCTGATCTCCAAAATATACAAAGAACTCAAGAAATTGATCACCAAAAGAACAAATAATCCAATAAAAAAAAATGGAGTACAGACCTAAACAGAGAACTCTCAAGAGGAATCTAAAATGGCTGAAAGACACTTAAGGAAATGTTCAACATCCTTAGTCATCAGAGAACTGCAAATCAAAACAACCCTGAGATTCCATCTTACACATATAAGAATGGCCAAGATCAAAAACACTGATGACAACTTATGCTGGAGAGGTTGTGGGGAAAAGGGAACACTTCTGCATTGCTGGTGGGAATGCAAACTGGTACAACCCCTTTGGATATCAGTGTGACAATTTCTCAGAAAATTAGTAAACAATCTTCCTCAAGACCCAGTAATACCACTTTTGGGTATATGTCCAAAAGATGCTCAATTGTGCCACAAGGATATATGCTCAACTATGTTCATAGCAGCTTTGTTTGTCATAGCCAGAACCTGGAAACAACCTAAATGCCCCTCGACCAAAGAATGGATAAGGAAAATGTGGTACATTTACACAATGGAGTACTACACAGCAGAAAAAAATAACGATATCTTGAATTTTGCAGGAAAATGGATGGAGCTAGAAAACATTATTTTGAGTGAGGTAACCGAGACACAGAAAGACAATTATCACATGTACTCTCTTATAGGTGGTTTTTAAATATAAAGCAAAGAAAACCAGCCTACAAACCACAATCCCAGTGAACTTAAACAACAATGAGGACATTAAGAGAGACTTACATAGATCTACTCTACATGGGAAGCAGAAAAAGACAAGATCTCGTGAGTAAATTGGGAGCATGGGGACCTTGGGGAAGATTGAAGGGGAGGGGAGAGGCAGAGAGGGGAGCAGAGAAAAATGTAGAGCTCAATAAAAATAAAAAAATATTCAGCTTCTGCTGAAGACTCTGATCCCCTTGGTAACCAGTTTCCATCTGGAAACTATGAAGGGCCAACTGCTGAGCATAAACTCAGGTATGATTAAAATGGGCTAATTATGAATAGCAAGACTCAGCCACATTATTTGGAAAATTCCTAGGGTTTTTAAGAACTCTGTACCTGGAGCTTTAGGCAAAGACCAACTATACATACATATTGTTAGTACACCATACCCATATAAAGGACACCTGAATAAATTCTCCCGAGTGACTGTGTTGTTCTGGAACACTGCTGAGTACACACACACACACACACACACACACACACACACACACACAAACTCTCCTAACCAGACTCCAATGTCTTATTCCTATAAGCATCATGTCTTAGTGAGGCATGAGACAGGTGAAGTCGAGAATGTGCTTAGCTCTAGGAACACAATGGACCTTGGTGTCAAAGACCTGGATCTGATGGAAGACAGGCATACCTCTAACCACAGTTACAGGAGGCTGCCAATCAGCTTCCATGGACTCTGTGGGGTCACAGGTGAATGCAGAGTACACAGAACCTCCAACAAGAACTGGCAGGTGCCTCCACAGGTAAAGAGAGAACCCGATAAACAAAGGTAGAGACAAGGAAAATGGTGTGTGCTAAAGGGGTGAAGGGCTGGCATAGAGATCAGGCTTAACATGGAGCAGGCACAACTCCCTTGTCAGGGAATGTGTTGTTGGCATCAGTAATGTGAGCAGGGAGCATGGGGTGGTTTTAGGTTTATTTTGAAAGACAATCACTCCAGAGATAGCAGGTAGATGGGCTGGAGGGAGAAAGTTACTACCCCCAGCTTTCCTTGTCTGCTGTATTAACGTCTTGTGCTCCCAGCCTCCACTCAATCCATTCTAGACATAGTAGTCAGGCTATTGTTTTAAAATGTAGATGGGAGAGGGGTCACAGATGGAGAGATGTTTAAGAGGGTAAGAGCACTTGCTGCTTTTGCTAAGGACCCAGGTTCAAGTCCCAGCACCCAGATGGTGGTTCACAACCATTCACAACTCCAGTTACAGGGGATGTGACACTCTCTTCTGATCTCCGTGAACATCAGGTATGCACATGGTGCATATACATGCATGCAAGCAAAATATTCATACATTCAAAAAATCTAATATATATATATATATATATATATATATATATATATTCACAAATAAGCATAGTCTTCATCCCTCATCAGGGAAACTTCTATTTGCAACAGATGGAGATCATTACAGAAAACCACAATCAACCAATAGGCAGAGTTGGGGAGTCTAGTCCCAGTGGATACATCTACAAAATACTCCCATACCTTTGGCCCAGGGAACATCGCAGAAGTGGGGGTGGAAAGGTTGTATGAGGCCTAGGATCAGGGATTTTGCTCTAGAGTGTGTCTCCTAAAAACATCAGAAGTCCCAGAAATCCCAACAACATGACCACCCAAACGTGAGCTGAGCAAGAACACCAATAAACATACCACACCACACAGGAAGAAAAAGCCCACAAGGCCTTAACCCTACACAAAGAATTACATGCAACTGAGTAAAGCTGGGAACAGAAGAGATGCCCTCCCTCGGGGTAGAGCACACCAATGGGTTGTCCCCAGTGCCAAATGGTCACCCCCTCATGTCTGTGTGCTCACAGACATGCAGATGCAAAAGTTACCGCAGGAAAGTCTAAGTGCTCTGTCTAAAATAGGTGATGGTGGATCAGTGGTAGAGCATTTGTCTAGCAATGGACTTTGACTCTGGGTTTGACTTCCATCATCACAATAAATAAAGCCTGGTGTGGGGGCTCACTCCGCTAGTCCCAGCACTTGGGAGGCAGAGGCAGGCAGATCTCTGTTCGAGGCTAGCCAGGTCTACACAGTGAGTGCCAGGACAGCCAGGGGTATGTATGTATATAGGGAGATCCTATCTCTACATAAGCAAACAAACAAGATTAAACTAGTTAAATTTCTGTTTGAGGTAGTTTGGTGGGACATGACCGAAAGTGAGATACTCTAACAAGTAAACAAACGTAGTCTTACTAATTTCTACTGCTAATGAGAACCTATAATTTAAATATTTTTTTAATTTAGAACAAGAATTCCCAAAGGGTCAGATAGTAAAATATCGTAGGCTTTGGGTGGAACAGGTCTCTTTCCTTTGTAACAGGACCGATTATTTCTGTACCTAATAAAACTTCTTGATATTGAAATTTTAATTTCATAGAATTTCCATCTGTTATGAAATATTATTGTCTTGCTCCTCCCCGTCCCTTCAAAATGTGAAAACTATTCTTAGCTTCCGAATTGGCCAAAAACAAGTGGTTGGACATCCTGGACGGTAGTGTGTTGGCAGTGGGCCATAACTGCCGATAATTCCCCGGCTGATCGTACCGAGGCTTGTTTCCTCCAGCACCACCAGCACCGGAGCGTCCGCCCCGCACTCCTCTGGGTTGCGGGACGCCGCAGTAGGCGGGAAGGGGCGGAGCCTGCAGTCGCGACGCCCAGAGGCGGACCTAAGGGGAAGGGCGACGGAAAGGGGGCGTGACGAGCGGCGACTTCCGGCGGAAACGGGAGTGAAGAAGATGGCTACCACCAAGCGTGTGTTGTACGTGGGTGAGCAGGCGCGGGTGCTAGACTGAGTCTGGGGAATGTGAGGAAGGCGATCAGCAGCCGGCTCTGTCGAGGGTCTTGCTGGACCTGAGGGTGTGAGCCGAGATGGAAGGAACAGTTCCGGCGACCTTCCTAGTCCACTAAGCGCACAGGAACCCCCCCGACCAGTGACAGGAAATGGTGACAGGAATTATGGGCTTCCAAATGCTCCCGCCCATTAGTTTTTACAAACATTCTATGCGGGAATGTCTGGGTCTCTGCCTTTACGGAAGGAGTTACCAGACTAGACAGAAGAAAGTGGGGATTAACCTAAAGACCGCACTTGGATAAGCGCGGTAGTAAGGACGAACAGTGATGGCAGGAACTTGGGTGAGTGCAAGCTTTCTGTTGCCGGGACGCAGGAGTTAGGCATGGGGCAAGTCAGAGTAGTGGCAAAACTGTCAGCTGTACTGGAGCCGAAGCCCAAAGATGTAAAGTAATCTGACCCCTGGGGACACGTGGGTCATTTTTCGCGAAACGCAGGGAAACCAAGTGGAAGTGAGGCTCGGGTGATAGCCCTGTGTGCTCTGCTATTTAAGGAGCTCTCCTTTACCTTGAGATCGGTGACGTTTAAGACTTTGAAGTCTAAAAGAACTGATGGATTTGTTTCCATGCCCACAAAAACATTCCTACTGGTTTGGGGACGGTTGACACAGGGAATGGAGGCAGGGAGGCCACATAGGAAGCTGTTGTGGAATCTTGGAGATCGATTCGGATCTGTTTGAAAAGGGTTGGCGAAAAGAACCTAGCGTGGGCGGGCAGGAGAAGAGCGGTGTTTGTGTTGATGGAGGTATGGGTGGAGACCCCTCCCCTTACCTGGCATGCCAATGGGCTGTGGCGGCTTTTGAGTGCGGAGAACAGAGGCTCAGAGTGAAGAATGCCCTTGACTTTTTTGCAGGTGGGCTGGCAGAGGAGGTGGACGACAAGGTTCTTCATGCTGCTTTTATCCCATTTGGAGACATCACAGATATTCAGATTCCTCTGGACTATGAAACAGGTGGGTCCTTTGGGTGTCTCTAATGTTCATTACCCTCCTGTAGGAAAAGAATTTTGAAAGATTAAAGTCTCATGGGCCGTGGTGGCCCAGGTCTTTGATCCCAGCACTCAGGAGGCAGAGGCAGCTGGATCTCTATGAGTTCCAAAATAGCCAGTGTTACATAGAGAAACATCTTCTAAAAAAAAAACCACTAAAACAAGCAAATAAACAAACAAAAAAGTCACATTCCAACTCAAAAGTTACATTCTTGACAGGAGGTATAGCTCAGAACTCTTGCCCAACATGTGAGGCCATGGACTTTATTCCCAGCACTAACCACACACACACACACACACACACACACACTCACACCCACAGAGAGAGAGAGAGAGAGAGAGAAGAAGAAGAAAAATAGTAAGATCATTAAACTCTCTGAGCCTAGGGAATTCTTTTTTCCAGTAGTTGCTGGGCATAGTGGCACATGTCTGTAATCCCAGTATTTCAGAGGCTGAGGCAGGAGGATAGAGTTTAAGGACAGTCTGGGCTGCATTGTGGGACACTGTCTACAAAAATAATGCAAAAACCAGTTCTGTTGATTTGTTTTTTTGGAGGGGGGTTGAGACAGGTTTCTCTGTGAGCCCTGACTGTCCTGGAACTCACTTTGTAGACCAGGTTAGACTTGAACTCACAGAGATCTATCTGCCTGTCTGTGCCTCCTTAGTGCTGGGTTTATAGGCCTGCGCCACCACCACTGGCTGACTTTCTAATGGATTGTATAACTAAGTTGGCATTGTTGTGTGTGAGCTTTCTACTTATATCAGAATTTGTCTGAATTCTGATAAGTTGATCTGAATTTATCAGATTTTAGAATTTATGCTTTATGTGTAGTTGATGATCAAACTGTATATTTGGTTGGTAGCTTTTTGCCTGTTTTAGCTTTGTTTGGTTTTTACTTCAAAACAATCTCACAATTTTGTCCAGGCTGGACTCTTAACTGTGATCCTTTTGCTTTAGCTTCCCAAGTAATTGGTACCCCAGGTACATACTATGGCACCTGGATTCAAGTTAAATAACCTACCTTGCTAGTTGTACTGCATGAAAGGTTAAGGCGTATGCTTGACTTTCATAGATGAATGGAATGCCCTTTTAAAAATGCTTTTTTTTATTAATTTCTGTGTGGTATGGGAGTCTTAGGACAGTTTGCAGGAATTGGCTCTTCTACCATATGGCTTTTGGGATTGAACTCAGGTCGTCAGGCTTGATGGCAAGCTCCATTACCCACTGAGTCATCTGTCCTCAATGCTCATTCTAAAGTTTACAAATAAACTTTAGAGCCAGGTGGTGTTGGCGCATACCTTTAGTCTCAGCATGCAAGAGGCAAAGGCAAATGACTCTCTAAGAGTTCAGGGCCATCCTGGTCCGCAAGGGTTACACAGAGAAACCCTGTCTTAAAACGAAGGAAAGAAGGAAGAAAGAAAGGAAAAATCAGTTCAGGGCTGGAGGGATGGTTCAGTGGTAAGAGCACTCACTGGCTGTTCTTCCCAGAAGACCCAGATTAAATTCCCAGCACCCATGTTGTAGCTCCCATCCATCTGTAATTCTAGTCCAGGGAGGAATCAGGTGTCCTCTTCTGACCTTCTCAGGTACTATACATACATGGTCTTTAGACATGCCTGCAGGCAAAACACCCATACACATAAAAATTTTAAATTACTTAGCTTTATCCATAGAAAATGTTTATTATTGCCTTAAATAATATTGTAAAAGGGATCACAGAATGGGATTCTTTCTTTCTAAATAGTGAGTGGGTGTGATTTCTGGTGTCTGGACATGTCTTGTGATCAATTTCTTTGCGACTGTTCTTTTCTTCCGTTGCCTCACATGGTAATTACTTATATTGTGTTTCTTCATTTTTGCAGAAAAGCACCGAGGATTTGCTTTTGTTGAATTTGAGTTGGCAGAGGTGAGACTTCTGCACTACCCTTGTTTAGTCTGTGCTTCCTATAGAGCAGTGGTTCTCACCCCTTTGGGGTCACATATCAGATATTTACAGTAGCAGAATTACCTTATGAAGTAGCAATGAAATAATTTTATAGTTGGGGGTCACTACAACATGAGGAACTGCATCAAGGGTCACAGTTATAGGGAGGTTGAGAACCGCTGCCGCGGAGGAAGCTGTTTTGGGTCTTAGGCTGATGCTTTCAGGAAGTGCCGTATGAAGGAGAGTGCGCTGTCAGACTGTGTTCTGTGGGTAACGGCTCAGCCTGACTGTCAGACCCTGCTTGTCATGCTCCGCAGAGCGCTTACTGCTCCACTGCTCCGTTCACTGAGCATTCTTGTCTGGCATTGCTGCGCTCATCTTGTGCCTTCAGCTAGAAGCAGATCATGGCCCTCCAAACTAGAAAATGGCCCATGAAGTGTTGCTAGTCACACTAACAACTTTTAAAAGACTTTCCTGTTTATTTTGCTACTAAGTGTGCATTTAGACACACAAGCAGCACTCAGATACTAGCCTAAACTTAGATCTTGCATTTCCTTGGCAGGATGCTGCAGCAGCTATCGACAACATGGTATGGCTGGGATCCTCATTCTAACTGAAGTTGCCTTTTGCTGGTATACGGGCCTTATTCAAATGTTGGTATTCTGAATCTCTGAAGTGTCAGGATTGGGTGGGGAGGTAAAAGTTGCCATTAAGTAAAAATATTCATTGTGAACTGATCGCTGGTGAAGTTGGTTCCTGCTCAGACACCTCTCCACTTTAACGGTGTACTTCCTGCGCATCCTTCTCAACTGACCTCTCACTGGCCACCGCACATGATGGTGAATGGCAAACCCATTGCCCACTGAGACTGTATTTGCACAAAGGGGAGGGCTTCATGAAATGTTAGATCAGTTAGCAATCGAGAAGAGAAATTCGGTAAGAGTAGCTGAAGGCTGTGCTACTGATGTAGATTCACACAGCCTGGAAAAGTGCTTGGAAATGATGATGCTGAGATCTGTGGCTGGCACAAGACACTAATGTGTCATTTCATGTCAGATACGAGATGCAAAGTATCTTATCCTGTTGCTAGAATTTTGATGAAAAAAGTACTTGAAACTAATTATCTCTGTTTATAAATTTCTATTATAAATCAGTGTGTAATTGAGTCTAGTATTATCTGTAAGAAATTTAAGTTTTTCCCATGAAGTTTTCACTGCTGCCTTAAGTTCACATTAAGTGGCCTTTCTCAGTACCACTTTGAAATTCCATATTCACTGCTCTCCACTACCCATTGTCATGTATACTGTCTCGGAGCCGATCTTGCTTTTAGTCACTTGAATCCTTTGAGCTCAGAATAACTCTCAATAGTGCAGGTCTCCACTGGTATAGCCAGGTGGTGGTAGTGTACACCTTTAATCCCAGCACTCGGAGGGCAGAGGCAAGCAGATCACCCTGAGTTCAAGGCCAGCGTAGTCTAAAGAGCGAGTTCCAGGATAGGCTCCAAAGCTACACAGAGAAATCCTGTCTCGAAAGAAAAAAAATGCAGCAGCTCCAGGGTTGAAGTTTCCTGTAATTTCCTTCCTTGATGTCTGTGGTGAAGGCAGAGCTTTTGTTGCTGAGGAATCCGGATTAAAGAAGGAGACTGATCAGGTCTCAAGTAAATGAAAAGTTGCCGGAGATTTTTAATCTGAAAGTTTAAGCAGCTGGATTTACAATCTTTCAGAATGAATCTGAACTCTTTGGACGGACAATCCGTGTCAATTTGGCCAAACCCATGAGAATTAAAGAGGGCTCTTCCAGACCAGGTGAGTGGGGCGTCTCATGGAGTGCTTGTCAGGTCCTATGGTTTGGCCTCCTTTACATGGGTGCTCAGTGCTGCTTCTGGTGGACAGGAGTGGAGTGGGGACAAGTGGGTGGTGGTTCACACCGGCCAAGGGTGTGCATTACCTTTATTGGTGAAAAGCAGCAAAGCCAAAGTCATTGTTCCTCTTGATAGGACCCTGCCTGATCTCTCACCTCCCAGTTTCCTTGGTATCCCATTCCTGGGAAAGGAAAGCCAGCAGAGCCTCTCTTTGCCTTTGGCGTAGCTTTCTCCCTAGTCCTACTAAGTGCTGGGCCTCTGGGGAGTCCCAGTGGGAGCTTAGTCTTGAGCATTGTCAAAGGGGACTTCTCTGGCCAAGAGGAGCCAGAGATGACCAAGCATCTGCCTGGCAGTTAAGGGACAGTCTGATTTCTTCACGTGTGTGTCTTTTCCTTCTAGTTTGGTCAGATGATGACTGGTTGAAGAAGTTTTCTGGGAAGACTCTTGAAGAGAATAAAGAAGAAGAAGGACCCGAGCCTCCCAAAGCAGAAACCCAGGAGGTGAGAAGGAAGGTGCTGCCTCCCCCAGGAGACAGGCTGAGCTTTCCCTCATTATGGGGACTCAGATGCGTGTGTTTACAAAGTGCAGAGGGGGTGGTGAACTTAGACCTTGGTGAAGGTGGTGCTGAGGGAATGAAAGGGCATGGCTTTGGGGATTGTGTTTGTGCTGCTCCACACCCTGCCAGGCAGCCCTTCTGTCCTGAGGTCCTTGGCCTCATACAGAGGTGACAGGACAGGTAGTGTTTTCCCTTTAGCTTGTGCATGGCTTCTGGGTGTGCTAAGGCAATTCTTCCCTGGCACATTTCCTGGTTCTCAGCATATCCCTGTGACCAGTGCTGTAGGACTTTACTTCCTCAATGCACCCTGTAAGGTTGGCATTCTTCTGTGCTTGCTCATGGCACGTGGCTTTTCTGTCCTTTTCAGCTGAAACAGCAGCTGTGCTACACTGTCGACTTTGATGGTCTCTGTGTCTCCCACTCCCATCTCATAGGGGTCATATCGCCTGAAATGGATGCTTCCCCCTTATCTTGTCCTGCTGTGCTCTTAATCTGGGTGAATGTCTAACATACATTTACCTAAGCCAGAAATTTGTATGCAGGGCAAACACTTAAAGTAGCAGTCACAGTGGGGTCCCCCAGGCCATCCTAGCCCTTTCTTTACAACAGAACCAGTACATCATCGCCCTCCTCAGGCGTCTCTGAAACCTCCCTTTGTACTTCCTTTGTGCTGCGGTCCCTGTCTAACCTCAAGTCTCTGGCTTGGAAATTGCCGTTGTTTCTGGTTACAGTCTTGCTCTCCTCCATGCTTTCCCAATGGAAGCAAGACTAATCTTTCCACTTTCCAGAGCACAGATTCTGTTGTTTCTCTCAGACTCGGAACTTTTCACTTCCGTCATCCGTCTCAGGGCACGGGCTTCCAGGTCTTCATCCTGCCCATCTTGCAGGTGTCATTCTCTGCTTCTCTGTAGTCCAGTCCCTGCCTGATCTTAGTAAAATATAGTTTCCGTGCACACGTTTGCTTTTGCACAGACTGCTCCTATGCTGACTGCCTTTTCTAGGCCGTGCAGTTGATGAGCCTTGTACTGTGGGGTGGAACACTGGACTGAGAGCCTGGACTTGAGGGAAGAAGGTGGCTTATTTTTCAGTTCCTACTCATCAATTACTACCTTTGTGACTTGGTGCAAATTATACAGCAAATACTGGATTGTTGTTGCTGCTGTGGTATTGCTCACACCAGTGAAGCCAGCAGTAGCCAGAGCCTCTGCGTCTGCATGATGACTTGGCATGTGCTTGATCAGCTGAACCAAAGCAAATGTAATTTCCTCTGTGTAATCTCCCCTACTACAGTACAAAACAAGACTCAGCCTTTTGTCCTTTGAGCACTCCAATCAGAAGGGCTCACTTGTGTGCTTCCAGGGTGAACCTGTGACAGTGATGATTGGGCATGCAGAAAGAAGTGTCAGTATATGAGTGTCCACTACTGTAGTCAGGTATATGACTTGACTAAGACACTGAGGAGGGTTGAGTGTTCTGACCCAGTTAGCTGCAGGACAGGGGAGATGAGCCGGCATGTCTAAGAGTGAGCATGGGGAGATATGTCTATAGATAGCGGCCCCATTTTATAATGCTGAGTGAGGGTTCCTGTCACTGAGTGTCCAGTTAGGTGCTGTGGCCATAGTTCCTGCCTCATACAGCCCTATTAGGGCCCAAGACCTTCCCTGTCAGCACCTGTGTTTGGGCTGTGCACTGCAGTTGTGGTGCTGTGTTCGGGGTGT